CTGCATGGGACTAAAGACCTGCACTGCTGGGGTAGGGGAACTGTCGCAGGCCATGTCATTAGCCGTCTGCCCTCTTGCATACACTACAAGACTGCAAATCCCGTTCAAACCTGGTCCTTGGTGGGCTGGGGCCTCCCAGCTCCTAAACCGGCTGCTCCTTCCCTCTCTTCCTGGCTCCCCATGTGCCCTGAGGTGCATCCTCTATGGAAGCCTAGTCAAGTTGCTTGGGGTCACCAGGGGCTGGGGCTGTCCTCCTTGGTCTGTTCTGAAAGAAAGGTGCGGGCAGCTGACTTCTAGGTGGCCATCTTGGATCTCTCCCATTATTTTTCAAGATATATTTTTTCCATAGAAAACCAAAAACCTACGAAAAAAATACTCTAATTGGAAAGTTTAGCAAGATTATAGTAGTACAACGGAATAGTATTCCTTTCTATCAGCAATAAACAGATAAACTTTTTTTCAATTTTAGAACATATTTTCATGTGAACATTGACCAGATAGTTAATTATTGTATTAATCTGTTCAGGCTGCTATAACGAAAACTTTAGATTGGGTAGCTTGTTAACAACAGAAATTTACTTCTCACAGTTCTGGAGGCAAGGAGAGCTCAGATCAAGGTGCCTGCAGTGTCTGCTTTCTCTTATAAAGAGGGCCTGCTTTCTCCTACAAAGTGCCTCTGGCTGTGTCTTCATGTGACAGAAAGAGCAAATAGCCTCCTGTTAGGTTAAGAAAATGAGCAGATGGGGAAAGAGAGATGGGAGATGGGTGGCTTCACAGCAGTGCAGGTTTATTTTAAGGAGGAGAACCTGTGGAGGGGGCTTTAGAAAACTGAAGCCCACAACTGTTTATAAGTTAGGGCAGTTATAGGGCTTGAGGGAAAAATTTGGGGGTTGGCATTGCTAGGGGTAACCAAGGCTTGTGATTCAGTAAGTTGAAAAGAAGTCTTGTGGCTAGGTTAGGTGCTAAATACAGCTGGATGTTTGCAGATTTTTTTATCCTGGGGCAGCCAGCAAAATAACTGGGGTCTCTAAGGTGGCATTACCCAGGCAAACACCTTCCTCTATCCTCTTTTATTGAGGTAATAATTTTATTCATAAAGGTTCTGCTCTCATAATATAATCACCTCCCAAAGACCCCAAACTCCAATACCATCACTTTGGGGATTAGAATTTCAGCATAAGAATTTCAGGGGTACACAAACATTCAGACAATAGTAATAGTATTAAAGATTTATGGTTATCTTATTATAAGGATGGCATTTCTTTTCAAGTTGATCATTAATCTTACTGTAATTCCAATCACAATTTGGCAAGGAAATTAATAAGCTCATTCCAAGAATAATAAAGGAGAGAAGAAAAATAGTTGAGATGTTTTTGAAGAACAAGTAGGATGGTTTGCCATTTTGGATATTAAGACATTATAAAGTAATAATAATGAAACCATCACATTATTATGGAGCTGGAAAGACTAATTGAATTGATTTGGGCACTTAGACCCACACAAATATGGAAACTCACATGTGACAGTTGTCGCTACACATTAGCAGGGAGTATCTGACATGGGGCACCAGGACAGTTGTTCACGTGGGAAAAAGTGAGATTGGTTTCCTACCTCAACCCTCCCCCACCCCACTCTCTCTCCAGGTAAATACTGAAAAGCAAAAAAAAAAAAAAAAAGAAAGTTAAAAGTTAATCTTTTAGAGAATAATTTTATGATCTCAGGATTGATGAGGATTTCTCAAGCATTTTAAAAAATGTACAAACTATCATATTAAAATGAAAGATTTGCAGTACAATTATGAACTTTGTTTCATCATAAGATGACACATTCAAAATGAAAAGAGGAGCCAAACTGAGAGAGGGTGGATGCCATACAGATGACCTAAAAAGGATAATCCAAAACATACAAATACTTCTATAAATATGGGCAAAAAACAAGAAGAGTTATTGCACAGAAAAGGAAACATGAGTAGCTAAATAATACACGAAAAGTTCCTCACTGATAATCATGGAAATGCAAATTAAAACTACAATGGGATACAATTTTACCTCACTAGATGGAAAAAAAAAAAAAAAGCAGTGAAGAAAGCTTTGATAAACCATTTAGTATATCCTGCAATCTGGTGATTGTACTTCTTAGTTAAGCACATAATGAAATACAAGCTCATACTTACCACATGGACAAAAGTATCAAAAAATGAAATAAAATAATGGAACATATCAAGTGTTGGTAGAAATGGAGATTTAAAAACTCACTTGAAGTGTTGGCAGGAATGTAATGCATCCCCTACAGGGCAATAATTTCTTGCCTAGAAAAACTCTTGCATGTATCTATCAGGAAACATGAATGAGAATATTCAGTGCAGCAGCATTGTTTATAATAATGGAAAACAACTCTGAAATATTTATCTCAGGAGAATTGATTAAAAACCTGGAGGAACCTCAGAGATACTGTGTTAACAAAAGCAAGTAACAAAACCATATAAAAGATACCAATTATTTAAAAGTAAAAACACATAAAATTAAAAGATGAATTATTAAGGATGTATACATGCATGTATGTGCATCTATAACAATAAGGCAATGGGAAACAACAAAATCAGGCTGATGGTCAGGCTCTGTGGCTCAGCCTGTCATCCCAGTACATTGGGAGGCCTAGACGAGTAGATTGCCTGAGCCCGCAGGTTCAAGACCAGCCTGGGCAACTTGGTGAGCCCTTGTCTCTACAATAAAAATCAAAAACTTAGTCGGGCATGATAGTGCGCACCCATAGTTTCAGCTACTTGGAAGGCTGAGGCAGAAAGATTGCTGGAGCCCAGCAGGTCAACACTGCGGTGACCGTAAGCATGCCACTTACTCCAGTCAGGGTGATGGAGTGAGACTCTGACTCAAAAAAAAAGAAAAGAAAAATCAGGCTGATGGTTACTCTGGGAATCAGAGTGAGTGTTTGAACAAAGAAAGATCTATCACGGGCTTCAATAATATTATAGATTTTCTACTTTATAAGCTGGGTTGTTCCTTTCATTTTCCTTTATACTTTACATATGGTACATACTCCATATATGTCCACATTATTTCATAATATTAAAAATGAAGTCACAATGCAAAAAGTACATATCCCTTAAATTAAATGTGAAGTCAAGAATACATATTTTTTTTTTACTCATTTTAGCTTAGTGCTGAGTAATACTTAGAAATTTTCCAGGTGTGGTGGCTCATGCCTGTAATCCCAGCACTTTGGGAGGCCGTGATGGGAGGATTGTTTGAGGCCAGAAATTTGAGATCAGTTTGAGCAAGATAGCAAGACTCTGTCTCTATGAAAGAGAAAATAAATTGCGACAGAATTGCGACAAATTACTGATTCTTCCACTCAGCCCCTAGAGGAGAATGTACTTCACCTTTTCAGGCTATTTGGTATAACATTAAATGTTTTATTGAGTCAGTTAGACTAAAAAGCCTTTTAAAACTGAGACCAACAAAAGGAGTGTCTGATTAAATATATTGCACACTCCCTGGTGGATTTATGTTCATCAATCAACTGGGTAGAGAGCAAACAAAATCTAAAGTAGCATTCACATTGCATAAATAAAACGTATTCTAAAACCTCACTTTATATGGGTTTTAAAAAGAATATTATTGATGCCCTTTTCGAAATGACTTTCTCATCAGATTGAGTTAAATTTTAACTCATTTAACCTCATCTGTGTCAAATATACAGAGAGAATACAGAAGCCCTAACAAGAGAGGGTAAAGGAAGAGAGAGAGCTGATCAAGCAACAAAAACAACAAAACAAGGTAGAAGGTAGACCAGTCTCTCTGGGAATAAAAAATGGAATTATTCTAATCAGTTCTTCAATATAATTTTAGTGACACTTTTGATTGGCCCAGCTATATATTTAAAATAAATAAAGAAAAAGAATGAATCAGAATACTTCAAAAAGATTGGAAGCAACTGGGCGATTGTTTCATAGTGCATCTTCCTGTGTAGGCCAGCTTCTAAGCTGTGTCAACTGATTCACCTTTTGTGTCCTGTAATGTTCTCCTACTCGGTTGTGTCTATTTCTTGTTCCTTTTTCAGATGTGCTCAGTTTGGAGGTTGTGAATAAACAGGGTTCGGGGAAAATAAATACATGAGAAAATAAACACTTAGGTCGGTAGGAGCTTGGATAGCAATAAAATTCTTATAAGAAAGTACATTTTTGACAAAGAAGGAAGCTGACCCCTTTTTGATCCCTTTTTATTTCAGACACACACACACATGCACACACACACACCCCAAAAAATCCTTTATCTGGATTAAATTATTTTTAAGTTCCCATGTCTGATTCTGTTCTGAATGTTACACAACATTTTTAAAACAGATTTTGTCTAACTTCTATAATGTCATAAGCAAAAAGGTAATGTCACTGTGAATTATGGAATAGGTATAGGAATAAATATATCAAGTACAGAAAGCACAACACAACCATTAATTTCATATTGGTGCAGCAATTTACGATTTTGTTTTGATTTTATTGTCTAGCACTGTGCTCATAGCATGTAACTTGGCATGAAAATTGTAACTAAAGAGTGCTCTCTGTATTATTTTAAACAGTAATAGCTGTATGTTAATTACATAGTCTTATGAAATCACACTACAATAAAGAACTATCTCAACTAGTATGACACCTAGTTTGGGAAGTTTTAAATGAATTATGCTGATGGTGATAGAAGAATCTGAATTAATAAAATAACTAGTTGGCATTAATAGCCCATCTCTGCAACCTCATGGTGCTTTATTAGTTCTTAATTTAAGAAATTAATTAATTCTGCTTTGATTTAGTATAATTTCTGTGCAAATCCGTCACCTCTGCCAGACTCAGATTCTTGTGGTAGGGTCTTTTCTCATTCATCTTTTGATATTCACAATGTCTATTAATAATTTTTCATATATGAAGTAGTTGTATCTCAAAAGAATAATTTTTTCCTTTTTTTAAAGTGTGCTTTTACACTTTTTTTCAGAAATTTGGTGCAACTCTATAAAAGTGAAGATGACATGGAAATCTCAAAGAAGATTAAGACTCAGTGGATTTCTTTGGGCCTAGAAGACGTACAGTTTGTAAATTACTCTGTGCTGCTTAATCTGCCAGGCTATTCTCCCAACACTGTGACTCTGAGCAGCAGTGGTCAATGCTTTCATCCTGATGGCCAGCCTTGCAGTGAAGAAGCCAGAAAAGATAGCAGCCAAGACTCGCTCTACTCGTATGCAGCCTATTCTGCCAAAGGAACTCTCAAGGTAATATGATCATTTGTCTCTGTCATTTACAGTGAAACAGAATTAGAAAACAACAGCTTTCACCTAAATTGAGCTAACTGGCAAGATGCGACATACAAAAGTAGCCATTAAATCTTCTCAGTATAGAGGTGCCAGGAAAGAGAAGGGCAATTTGGATTGCCTGATCCTTTTCTTGTCATATTTTGAAAGTGAAAACACGTTAGAAGAATGTAATTCAAAGGTGTTGAATGTGTGACTGAGTCATTCACATTTCGCTCAGTCCATATAGTGCAAATCTATTTTATTCCATGAAGAAGCAGATTTTAATATGTTGATATGGAGAAAAATAATAGAAATGGAAGGGGTGGTGTTTTGAGACTGTGTGCACACAAGAAATGAAGTGGAAGATTGATGCGATTATTCATACACTGAAGCTTTGAAATATTGCACTTCTGCTTTCCTGGTGGAAAACACATAGGATAAGAAGCCAGATGTGGATAATTTCTCTGCCTTTTCTGGGTTAGCTGGCATGTGGTGCAGTGTGTTTTTCATGTAGTGCTTAAGTTCAAGGCTGCTGGAGCCACATGGACTCATTTCAAGTGTCAGCTTCCCAATTACCCTCTGTTACTTAACCATCTTGGTCTGAGTGTTCTCGTCTCTGTATTGGGGATAATAATAGTTCCAACTTCATAAAGTTGTTGTGAGAAATAGATTAGCTGATAGATGTGAATCTTAGAGGACAGAGCCTACCCCATAGTAATGACAATATACAAATTAGATGCAACAATGCGTATTTGGTCACTCATTTCCTTTATGTGAGCAAGTTTTCTTTCTCTATGTAAAAGTATAATTTTAATAAACGCATTTATTATTTTTAAATTAAACAGTACACATAGCTTTATTTAATACAAATGAAATAATGTTTCTGACTTTTGTTAATGGCACAATGTTTTTAGGAATCTAACTTATTATTAACTATGATCAATACGTGACTATTTAAGCCATTCAAAATTACTTTGCAGAAATGCTCAAAATACCCTAATAGTGAAAGCTTGTTCCTATGTTTTCTTTTCTTGTTTGGGTGTGGGCAGTTCTCTGCTACCTCAGCGTTGTTTCTATGCTGTGTCATGCCATATTTTAACTTTTAGCAGAAGGACTGCACATAACTATCTCCACCTTGAAGAGTCTTACCATTAATTAAAATTTAACATATTATTAATTGTCTTCAGTATTTCTAGTGGAGGACTCATGTGATTTGATTTGATTTGGTTCATATACACTATCTGGTAAGCAATAATGGAAACACACCTGTATATTCATAAAAATAGAGAAAGGCAGCCAGCACTCTTTCCTTGATCCAGAAGCTTTGGCCTTAAGCTGAGATTCTAATAGTTACCCTACACATGTTCTCTCAGACTGGTAACCCCACATAAGCCCCACACATTTTCGGTCTCCTCTTTAGGCCAATTGACTCAAGTCCAACAAGCACATTTCTTCCCATATCAAAATGTGTCTAAAACACAGAACAACGAAAAAAACCACCAGGACCTTGAGTGAGTCCTTGGAATCATATCCATGACCATGCCTTTCTTTCAATTTCCTCTGGCAAATATTGATTATCCCTTGACTGAGGAGATGTGGAAAATTCATGAAACTACAACTTGCACACTTATTTGTTTGTTTATTTTTGGCGTAGCCCCTTGTAATAATCTGCTGGGCCCAGTGGACCAGAGGTAGACTAAAATTAAGTAAATTCCATAGATACGGGTCCATAATAATATGAGGGGGATGCACCCAGAAAAACCCGGAATCATCTTTTGGAGGGCAGGCCCCTATAGTACAGGCTTCCCCAGCTAGATGAGTGTTCTAGGAACCCATTAGCATCAGTGTACCAAGCCAGCTAGTGTTGTTATGAGAGGCTGCGTTCAGCTTCAGTGAATTTTTTTTTTAGATTCTTTCAACACGTTTGTCCATATCATGATGGATGTTATGAGCACACCTGCCCACACCATGCTGAGTAGTCAGCAATTTTTGGCCAAAAATGGCATGATCCCTGCTCCCCCACCCTTCCTTTTCACCCATTTTCACCCTGGATGACTTCTGTTTTATTTCCTCATCAGGAAATGTTGTGCAGAAGTGTTAAGGAGATGAAACAAAAAATGGCAGAAGCACTAAAAAGCATCAAAACTGAAGTGTGAAAACTGTGTAGAGTAGTAGAAAAAGCATCTCGATAGGTATATTGCGATCCCCAACCTTTTTGGCATCAGGGACTGGTTTTGTGGAAGACAATTTTTCCACAGATGTGGAGGGTTTGTGAATGTACAGTCAAACCTCCCTGCTTATGCTAATCTCTCCAGCGCTAAGATCACTGCCTCAGTTCCACCTCAGATCATCAGGCATCAGATTTTCATAAGGATCAGCAACCTAGAATCCTTGCATGTGCAAATTTGCAACAGGGTTTGTACTCCTAGGAGAATCGAATGCCACCGCTGATCTGACAGAGAGTGGTGTTTAGGTGGTAATGCCAGCAATGAGGACTGGCTGTAACTACCGATGATGCTTTGCTCACTTGCCCCTTGCTCACCACTCACTTCCTGTTGTGTGGCCCAGTTCCTAACAGGCCATGGACCAGCACCATAGGTCAGGAGTTGGGGACCCCTGATGCATCGCATCAAATGTAGCGTACTTTGAAGGTGATTGAAGTTTAAACATGAAAGAATAAAGACACAATTTTTTTTTTTTTTAATAATTAATCAGTATTTTTATTATAGTTTTGTGGGGT